AGACATTTAGTGAACTATCTAATTTGATTACATGCCAACAATGTAGTATATTCATAAATGTTCAATAAATATTTATCGATCGTACATCGAATATACGTCCCAAACAATATTTTTTAAATTGTGTTCAAGCAGTGTTGAAATATTATGCTATGTTAGTGCCGCCGGTGAGTATCTTATAAACATCTTATCGCGTCATCCGGTAATGATAGTTAATTTACACACATGAACCAAAAAATATTAAAGTATCACGGAAAACAAACGAACAGTTTATTAAAAAATATTGTTACCGTAATTATATTGTATTACACACGGTTTATTACTTAAACATATTTATTTTTGTTCTTTGTGCAAGTTTACTGAGATCCTATGCAAATTTTTAAAAGGAGATTTATCACACTCTAAAAAATTATCGACTATACATAACGTAATACTATTGTATACTATTATAACATTGGTTTATTTATTTTTAAGAAAAATGATCGTACTTTTATTTCAACAATAAATATATATTAATTTTTTTTGAAGGATAAAAATAAAAAAAAATCAACTACTATTATATGACTTAAAAATCAACGCTTTGACATAAACATAATATTTACAACTGTTTCCAACAACGCTACAGTTCCTAGATGTTAATATCACGCTTTAACCTTACCTAACGTCTACCGGAGTGAAAAATTACGGTGGAAGTCAACCCGGTACTACGAGAGTTCGTACACATAAAATGAACGGTGCACTTGATTAAAAGTCATTAATACCTGCTAGCTTCTATACACACGCACGCTTACTCGGCGATACAATATTATAAGAGTGACTGTCATAAACACTAATTAAGTTTATTAATGATCCTACACGCGAGAAGTACTCCCCGTGATGTTCAAATTTAGTCAATGACTAATACTCTCAAGAAATATCGTTAATATCTATAAATAAGCCAATGTTTAATGGCAAGTAACTCACAACAATGGATATACAAAAACAACGATTAGCAGTTACCTTCGTACTACAAGAGTTCAAAAAACAGCCGGTTATGCGAAACTATGAACACCTGTAGTACAAATAGTTGTTTACTATAAAAAAAAAATGTTATGATGATAAGTTATTCAAATGAATAAAACGATCATAAGTCTAATAGTGTAAAAAAAAATATCAGATTAATATTAATTAGAAAATAAGAAACTCATAACACTACTAATTTATTGATAAGAATATGATACAGCTATAAAATAGTTTTGTATTTATTTAGGTGCAAGTCTAATCGCTCCTAAAAAATTAATAGAAAAGAATCCTAGCTTACTGACTTTATTCCATAAAAATATAGTTATATTAGAATAAGTGAGCTTTTCATATAACTTGTATTATAAAACAAGGAGGTTAAGCAATTATTACTAGCAGAAATGTCAAAGGAGATATAATTTAATAGATTAGGAGCGTTAATGTTAGCATTGATTAAATTAAAAATAAAAGTGATAGCAGATAGTTTATGTCTAGAAGTTAGAGTTGGAATGCTTAGGGAGAATCTGAACTATATGTAATTTATGTTATATCTATAGTTTAAAGACTAAAAATTGAAGAATGTGGTTTTGAACGCGTTCAATAAAATATAAATCAGTTTTAGAATATCGACTCCAAATAAGTGATTAGTTTCTTATAACAAATTTTAATAATTGCAAAATTTATAACGCAATCAATATATTCAAATATCTAACCAATACTTTGATTAATGATCCTGAATTTAATAAAGTGACGATCGAATATTATTTATCATTTATGTAGTATTTTCCTTTCTAGATTTTTTTATTCAACACAGTAACATACTTTGTTATGGGATCCCGGGTTGCGACCTCCCCTACAGAAGAAAAAAAAGGTTCAGAAGTCATAAAACACTTGCTACAAAGGTACAAAAAAAAATGAACATTCATTTATATCATGAGGATATAAATAACTCTTAATATGTTTTTATAACAATATAATTAATAGAATAATGTAATTATTAATTCATATCTTATATGTTTTTTTTATAATATTATAATATCCCTTATTCTTTAGACAAATGTTTAACCATAAAAAATTTTAAAATATGCTACTGATTCTACCATAATATTGAAAATAAAATTATAAGTTATAAATTATTTATGAAATCAAATTATTAATAATCGATGAAATGATCGACTCATAAATAGCCGAAATTAGCTCAACTGTTATGTACTCTTATACATTTATTTCAAAGACTCGAATAGATTAACACTACAATTCAGCCATAAGCGTAAAACCGATACCATTGAGCAAATTATTGTATTAAATATCCGGAAACAATATATATGATCATTCGTTTAAGTACACGCGCTGTCTAACCAATGAGATTAAAATTGCATCTCATTACGTGCATGGTAAGAGACCAAGATAATTTACTGTTCTGGCTTATTATTTGTAACTGTTTTATAATATAAAATATATTAATCATTCGAAATATATACTAGGTATACGCTATTAGTTACAGAATATTGCATTCCATTAGACAGATTGACATGGTATAATTTATGTAATATAAAAATTCAAACATTTTTTATACAAATTTTTAACAAGGGTATTTTTGGCGAATATTATAAAACGAACAATACAGTTTCTTTTTTTTTTTTTAAATTTAGTTTCAAGATTTTTGTTATTTTATATAACTTTATTTCATTATATTATGACTGTTGGTAATTCTAAATTTTCAAAAACCATTTCATTATTCTTTTTCGTATTTCACAAGTTTAAATTATTATCAAACTTTTTTTTTTTTTTAATGTTTTAATGTTTTAATCTATTTTAAACGTTTTTGTGTGATTTTTTAAATGAAAACAAAAATTTAATTTTTAGAATAACAATAATAATAAAGGCGTTGCTTTCTTTACTTAATTGTATTACTTATTATTATAATATTGATAAATCAAAAAAATAGTATATTCATTAATGATGCGTATTTTCATCACACTAGTACTTTTACTATTGTTTATGTGTAACTATGAACCTAAATCAAATGAAATAACTACATTTTATCGTCTATTACACTATTTCGATGAACTTGACCTTTCACTCATATTCTTCTAGTTATCCGTTATTACGTATTATACTTAGGCATGGTCACCAATCATTAATTGATTGATTAATTAATCATTAATTACTCAACGGCTCTGCTATAACCACCCACGACAGATAAAAGATAATACATTTCAAAAGAAGAAAGTTAAAATATAACCAAAGTTTCAAAACAAAATTAAAAAAAAAAAAAAAACCACTCGGACCTTTATCCGGACCGTGCGAATATTGTTGAAAAAGAAATAATTTGAATTTTTAGGGAAAAATCCGAAGCAATACTGACATCCGTAACCGATGTATATGAAATTAGCCAACTTCGTGGAGATAAATCGAATCGGATAGCTTTTTATTTTATTTCAATAACTCGGGTTAATTGTGATTGCTTAAAATTACAATCGACCATCGAACTAGGTTTACGTTTGCGTAACACGAGATCAGACGTAGTTTTCATCCATTTAACGATAGTGCACGGGGGTGTCAAATTTAGAGGCTTTACACATCCAGTTTAACGCTAAGGATAAATGTACTCGAATATAAATATCTGTGATTCATTTTCGTGGAAATATCGATTTTTTTTTTCTATATCATTATGCACGAGACGGCCGTTAATTCACAATAATAACGAGCGGCGAATCTTTTTCCACCGGTTTTATAGGAACTCCGGATTAGATTTCGTTTGAGTTGATAGCTGCCAAGCGCACGATAACGTTTTCAAAGCGAAACCAACAGATATACTTTACAGTATGTACAGAAAAAAAGAAAAAGAAAGAGAGAGAAAGAGAGAGAGAGAGAGAGAGAGAGAGAGAGAGAGACTTCAGAGACAGAGATCCTTTGAAGTTAAAACAACTGAAAATATAAACACGTTTTGAACATTTACATTGATATGCTATTATACGAAATCTTGAACTGAGTGGAATAACACAAACACTCGCATTTATTTTCAACCGACGCCGATACGTATACAGAAGGTACATTGTAATAATATATCGATCGACGTTTAACACACTCTGCCGTGCCTATAAAGCTCCATCGGGTGGGTTATCCCTTCACCCCCATCAGTACAATGTCCTGGGCTAATGAAATAAACGCCGCCTAGGCGGGAGTGATAATGAGGTAAGTACAACGTGCACGTATAACCACACACAAGGGCTAAGATTTCCACCAATCATAGTCGTACATATTTTGCAACACGGCCCTCGCGATATTAAAATATTGTAAATACCGCGTACAACATACTAATAAACAAATTGAATTTATTTGTTGATTTGCCCGGATTTAAATTGTGAAAATAATAAATTGCTTTCGGACGCCACGGAGAAAAATGAGCCGTCCGTAGATAAATATTCGTACTTATAATTATATTTAGATACACTCGTTTAAAAAAGAAAAAACGCATTTTGGGTTTCTTTGAAGAAACTCGCATTACGTCCATCACGTATTATAATACATCTGCAGTAATTTTTTTTCTTCCAAAACCATTAGAACACGAGTAAGCCTGAGCACAAAACACTACTATTATAATTATTGTGACTGAGTGAACGATTTTATTTGCTATGAAATCGAATAGCGCGGGTTGTACAGTGTTAACAACGAATCAATTAAACCGTGATATCTGATGGAAAATAGTATTTGTCACGACGACGAATATACTGTTGTGTAGTATTTAGTGACACGGAAATCTTGTAAGACGTGAAAATTTTTGACGAAAGTTGAAGGGTAACGTGGTGGCAAGGGTCTGATCGGTGTACATTTTTCAAGCCCCTCCCCCCACACACATTCTCTAGTTCGAAAAAATTTAAATCGCCCATACGCGTGCAAGTCATCGAGGAGGGGGTTGATATCATTATCGTTTCGGTAACCACGAGGGTCGGACGACGTGAGAGAAAACGGAAAAAACACCTATAAAAAGAAGCACCGACCTGTTTAAACCCTCTGTACATGATGCGGATCTCTTGTCTGGTGAACTTGGTCTGCCGGCAAAGGTCATCCAGAGCGACGGGCCTGGCGTGCTGGAACACGGACGGATTGTTCAGCTGTTCTTCGAGCTCGATAAACGTCGCCTCTTCGATGATCGGGCTGTCGGGGGGCGTCGCCATCGTCGCACGGTGGCCCCCCAATCGTTCACCGCTGCTGCCGCCGCCGTCGCCGCTGCACGCGAACGCCCGCGCCCGCGGCCCGGTACTCTACCCCGGTGTTGCACCGGTCGTCAATGTTCGTCATCGTCCGGCCCCCGGACGACCGGTGTGGCGCACGGCCGCGGCCAACGCCCGATTATTTCATCAGTCTCGATTCGACGCGCCGTCGTCTGGGTTAACTAAAAAAAAACCAACGAATTGAAAAAATAAAAAAAGGACAAACAACCTGACGAAAAATCCTTCTATTTGTTGTTTGTTCGAAAGACGGCTCGATTCAAGAACTCGTGCCGGCTTCGAGTCCGGCAATCTTTTATACTATACATTTACATGAAATACATGTACAAAAAAAAATAATGGTGAATTTTAAAATCGACATACTCACTCACACATCACCCGTTTCCAAGAAAAAGTGATCAATTTAAAAACCTGAGAAAATTTAAATTCATCGTCTGCAGGCACGAATGCAAGGGTGCCCCCCTCGAAAAAAAAAAATTTATAAAAAATACAAATGTAATAGTTATTTTAAAAATTCTAATGGGACTAGTACAATGTTTTAAGGACATGTGTGTGGTATGACACGAGTGTGTATTCAGACTGGCATAGACTGGTGTCATGCGTACATATGTAATATTTAACATGATCAATATATGATGCATTTTGTGTGCGACTAATGGACCTGGGTTTATTTTAACATATCGCACGTTATAAACATATATATATATTGAAATCGTATATGGTACGTTTGAAATTTTCGAAATCAATTCAGACGTTGACCAATCGATACCGGGTATAAAAGTAAATTGTAAGACAATCATCTAAGGGTATCACTTAAAAGTTAACCCTCTAGCCGTGAACGTGTTAAAAAAGGTGTTATAGCTTCTGCGAGTTAAACATTAATACATGATTCGGACCACTGTGCCATGGAAGGCTTTCGAACTCGAATCAGCAACGGATATTGTTTTGAAAACGCATCGATGACTGCGTTGTCGACTTCTGCTGCACGGTGATGACATATTATGTGAAAACTATAGTACACGTTTACGTATGTATGAACACTTGTGGAAATCCATTTACAAATTAATACAATAAGTCCATCGATCGGTATGATGCTGTTGGGCTTACAACGCGCGTAACCGTATAACATAAAAAGGCGAACAACGGCAAGAATACAGCATACGCAATAATATAGATGAGAGGAGAGGAGGTTTCATAATCTGCATAAGCGGATATCGGGAGGAAAGGCGTAGCCTCCCAAATATTTTAATAGTCCCCCAAAATCGAAACTTTATTAGAAATGTTATTCGTTGTTTTTATAAATATCTGTTTGTTTTTTGAAAATCGTAAAATAAGTAATAATAAAACACTATTTGCAATAGCATTAACAATACCAATTAGTTCGGCTACTTGCAAAAGGAGTTTGAGTGCAATGAAAAAAAAATAAAAACTTGGCTAAGGACATCGTTGGTTCAAGATAGTTTCAGCGATCTTTAAATATTATATATTGAAAGAGATATATCGAAAAATATAAAAGGCAATGATATTTTGAATATCTTTGCTGATAAAAATAGATATTTTTCATTAAAATAAAATATTGATTATTTTTAAATATACGTTATTTAGTGGTTTTTTTTTTTAATACAATTTAAACATATCTATATTTTTAATAGTAATAAATTTTTCTTATGCATAGGATGATGGTGATGGGGCGAAGCCCCTGCGAATTATTTTACATTGAATTATTATAGCTCCCCAAAAATTCAACCAAATGTCCGCCTATAATAACCTGGCATTTATTCATCAAAATCAAATTAAGCGCTCGCTAACGAATAATATCGTACATAAAAAGTAATCATATCTTAAAATTGTATGACATTTTAATACTGTACGGGCTTACTGCTGCTCGTTGATTTATATCAAGTTTCGCTTTTGAAATATGTAAAAACAGTGACGCCACTAAGATTTAATTTCAGCATGTGTTTTTTGGAGAGGAGAAAGATAAGGTTAAGTTAACTATATATTTCGAAGGAGGAGAGGGATTGTGACTAGTTGCGCCCCTATATAAAAAGGATATTGATGAAAAGTCTAAATATAACAACGTGTTTTTTTTTTCATCATTATAATATTTGTAATATTCGTAAATTTATTTCAACAGAAGCAATAAATATAATATATATATGTTATATTGATTATTTATTTTAGTTATTGAGCTCAATTATAAATGTAATCATAGATTTTTTATATTATAATTATAATATATTGCTGAGTATGCACATATTTATACACACAAAAATTTATAAATATCATTACAAATTTGTTACATCGCATAAATGATTACAATTTACAATTATTATTACGGAAGAAGTAATTATTAATAAATTAAATAAATTTAGAATTAACATCAAAATTAACAATAAAAAAAATAAACAAATACCAAAACGAAGTTACAAAATACGATTCCAGATTTTTAAAAAGAAAGCTTCTACAGTTGTTACGTAGCACAAAATTATACTTAAAAAAAACTCCTTTCTATATGACAAGAGACTATTAGCGCATATTTAAAACAAGAAATTCAGGTAATAATTCTACAATGTTTTTATTTTTATTACTTAATTGTCCGCTTAATATTCTATATATTGTTATAATTTGAGAATACCTTGGATTTTTAGACAATAAACCAACATTTCAATTGTTTACGTTTAGAAAATTCTACAAATATTCCTCTTTTATTTAAATAGACGGAATTAAAATATTTTTTTATTTATTATTTATAAAATATACAATTTTAATGTAATTATTAAGAAGTATGCAATTCATCGTTATTTTTAATAAAATATGCAAAATACGAAAAAACAAAAATTATCCATAGGAATCTATACATTGCAAAACGTCGACATTTATAAGCAAAATTATTCTAAGCGAATTCTAGAAGAACATACATTTGCATAAAAATCTGGGCCCTTACAATCATACTTAATCATGCTTATAATAGTACTTAAAAGTATATTGTACATAATAATGAACTGGTTTATTTTGATAAACTTATCATATAATGTAATTATAAATAATAAATAGCAATAAATATTCTAATTATTATATTATGTTTATCATTTAACAGTGTTTTAAATTGTTAAGATTAAATTTATTTATTAAGTTTAATTTGTTAAATCAAATTTTGATCTATAGTGGAATATTTTCTTTTAATTAAAACGGCAATCTTATCAGTTTACAAGTAGGCGCGTTTTTTGCACTATGTTAATTTTATGTTGAAAAAAAAATTATCATTCAAATTTAGTCCAAAGGATAATTCATAATCAATTATAATGTTATATTGTTACCTTATATTACGTATTATGATTACTTCATAATAAAGTAATATAATAACAATGAACTAGCGATTATATAATTATACCCGGAGGTCGTTTTTAATTTTTCAATCTTTGTAGGCTTTTCATAAAGCTTTCCTTCACACTCCTACTTTTTTATAATGTTAAAATAACAAACATTTTACAATGCCATTATTATGTAATTACTTCGACCTGCCTATCATGCTTTTGAGATTAGAAAGCATATAAGTATTCCCTCACACGGTAAACTTATGGTATCTACTGACAAGTTATTACTAAAAAATGATAACAAAAAAGAAGAATTATATGAACATTAACTTTTTCGTCTGATTTACTACAGTTGAAAAGAAAATATAAGCTTGCAGGTATTGAAATATTCTTAATTGTAACTAAAAAATTCATTGTATATAAATTAAGTATCAATCCAACGTAAAAGTGAAACTATCATGCACCTAATCAATTACATTTTGACGAGTAAAGCACATGCGAGTACAAAATTTTCAGCATTTTTATTTACTTTACTATACTCATGTCAAAAACTTTAAAATTATAATAATTATAATGTTTAATTTCACATAAATATTACACATGTGCATTGAAACTTAAAAAAGAATATACTTTAACAGTCAATAAAGTGTATCAGACATACGGTTTAAAATTAAAATTTAACAAAACAATGACGCGTACACAAAACTAAAACAACATATTAAGAACGGTATCAAAGTGTGTTGAGCTAATGTTTAAATAAATTAATTGATCAACAAAATTCAATATAATAATGAAAAACCCCTTTTTACAGTGTAAATGGAACAACACCCTTTCAGTATAAAGGGCTCTATAGTTAAATAAATTGTACAAACAACAATTTCAATATATTATACTACAAAGTAGTATGGGGTTTGATTGTTAAGAATAGAATAAATTTAGGTACCGAATTCACCTGAAATGTTTACAATAATTCAATTTTATTTGAACTGGGTCTTTTTTATTGTTAAAATTAAACAAAAATTAAATTTTATTTATTTTTATTTATTTTTATTTATCAATTTGTTATTTTATAACAATATATCATGATTCAATATTCCTATTAAGCAAAAAAACATATAAAAATTACTATTGATATTATTATCAATATGATACTATGTGTTTAATGTACTTGATAAATATATTTACTGGAAAAATTATACTGCGGTCCGTGCCAAAGTGACCGAGATCAAACATTATGAACTTAAAAAAAAATCAAATTTTACATCTGACAAAGTTGGAGTTCGCTAAAGTATAGTACGTATTACTGAATCGTTAAAAATCAGAAATCTTGTAAAATACAAAATTGGGAGGGAAAATTATTTTTTTTCTACTACAGTAAAACGATTTCCGCCTATAAAATTATGCTTATAGCATTAGTATTCAGAATGCTTAATATGATTATACAAAAAAAAAACTTATCTCAATATATACATTTGATGAATTTTAGTAATGCATATAATGAGCATCAAGACTTCAAGTGCCATATAATAACTCTCAATGGTGATTTTATTCCCTCGACGGCACTTGACTTTTTTATTTATTTTTCCTTGGTCAAGTAAAATAAAACTAACACGGCTCTTGGAAGGATTTAATTTTGATAAGTGGGTAAAACGTGGTTCCAAAATTAAAGTAATGGAAATGTTTAATTTCTGTAGAGTAGTCAGTTTTATTATCTGACTGCTCTGCCGGAACAGAGAGCAATAAAAAAAAAAAGATGAAGAATCTTAATTAGTCCTTTAAGACCCCTTTTTGTAAACTTCAGATACCAGTTTTTTCGGGAACTATGCCAAAAACCACTAGGGGTTTCTTCATTGGGCAATGTTTACAATAACTTAAAAGACGAAAAGCTATGAATCACAATAAATAAAATATATTGGACAATACTTCTTATCATGTGCAGGCCAAGAACTCCAAACAATACGTCATAACAACTCCATGCCGTTATTGATAAAAAATGTATTTTATAGTTTCTAGTATACATGTTTTAAACACATAAATATAAGTTTTTGTTTTACAGGGTACAAAAAAAAAATTCGTAATGTCTATTTTTCAACTATTTATTTTTATATTTTTTGAAATATCTGATGAATAGTAAGCAAATAGCAAATATTGTACAACAAAAAACGATAATAATTGTCTCAATAGTGAAAATAAATATTTAAGTTTTTTTTTATTTTAAAAACTTTCGTCTTATTATCAATACTTAAAAACCATTAAATATTAATTCACATAAGATATATAAATACAATGATTATTTTATTGCATGTGACTTCTGTATAAATTGCAGTTTTTCTCAAGAAATATAAAATATAAAATTTTTTCTTTATGTCATATAAAAATCACTTTAAAATTTATTAATAATACGTTTATTGTTCAATGCGAGCAACAGGTTCGATGATAAATTAGTTGTTAACATAAATATACATATGTTTAACAAATTTAATTTCTACTTCACTCCTCATAGAATTTAAAATTGTTATATATTATTACAATTAAAAAACCAATTTCGTTTATAGTATGTATTGTTAAAAATTAATAACAAAAACACTTACATAATTGTTGTATTAAAATTAGCGAGTTATATAAATGTATCAAAAACAATCTCAAACAATTCCAACAAAGTACATACTTATCGTACTTATGCTTGATATGTATTTTCCCGTTGATATTTTTAAAACACAAGTACATTACATATATGAAATATGTTGGAAAACTTTCAACTGTATATTTTTTTGCAATATCTTATTCCGTTTAAATAAAATGTTTATAACTGCGATTAAAAAACCGAGAATATTCCATGGATTTGTTCATGAGAACAATGCAAATATCAATTAGTTGAATATTTTAATAAATAAATAAAAATAACACAATACATAATAAATAGCAACAAACAAATATTAATAGGGTATATGAAATTAAAATAATAATAGATATATTAAATATGAACTATGAATTTTACTCTTATTCGTTCAATAAATGCAAAATATTAACATTAAAATGGCATATGTTATAATTCTTAAATTTTGCCACGTTTCATGCAAAACACCTATACAATGTTAATAGTTGTAAATTATACATATATTGATTTTTATAAGCATATTGAAATTGGAAAAATTCAAAACGAATCGTCTAGTAGAAGATAATATTTTTAAACACTATATGCACTTAAAATTTATACAGTTTGAGATATTTGAAAATTATAAAATTAAAATCATATTTGTATTATTAATAATGAAGAATTAGTTGTTCACAAATAAATCAAAAAATATTAAAATTAATCGGCTACTAAATCGTTAGTATCCATACCATTATAAAACGCATCACGCGTGAAAATAAATTTTCAATCGAATCTGAAAGCTGTTTAAATCTTACAAGTAAAAATGTGACGATGAAACAGAAATTAATGCGAAGAATTATATCCGCATAGATACGACGAGCTAAATGAAAAATCTGATTGTTACGCGTGTGCCTTGGTGCAGTTGATTCGTAACGGTGAGAAAAATATTTAAAAAGACAATATTATAATTATAACATATAACAGAATATATAATTATGCAGTATAAATCGTTTAATATACGCTATTTATTATGTTTACATAATATTATTATTATTGTATTCACTCACCAATGTTTTTCGGATTTTTTTTCTCTACTATTATTATTTACCGCCGTGGCCAAAAAAAAAAAAAAAAAACCAATCGACGCACTACACTACGGTTAGTGTCGCAGCGTCAACGGAAAGGTTCGCGAAGATTAATAGAAAAAAAAAGAGGAAGAACGTGATGAGATAGAAAAGACCAACCGCGGTGGTTATAGCGACGGCTGAAAAACAATATTGTTTTAATTTTTTTCCGAGATAGCCGCCAGTAGACGTTGTACGGGTAGTTATGTGTATGCGTGTGCGTGCGTGGGAATGTCGTATATGTTTATTTGATAGTGTGTGTGTATGGACTAACTAAAAAGCACGACCATGTTAGATATAAAAGCGGTGCACCGACGACTTGACTCGAAGCTGCTAAAGCTACTGTGTGCTGTGGTCGCCGCCACCGTCGCCGCCGCCAGGACCCACCGAAGGCGCAATCAGTGTTGCCAAAAGCCCTCCAGGACACGGTATTATTCCAACTCGCGTGGATTGAAACGGTCGTCGTCGAGGCCCGATAATAATCGTACGAGTAATGCGATCGAGCTGAACACGACGACGACCCTTTGCGATACGTCACCCGTCCGTCATCGTGCGCGCACGCCTTCCGTCGACACGGCTAATACCGCGAGAGCACTCGGACGGGAATGCGATGTGGAAGGGACGTTAAGTCTAGGCCATTGTCCCCGTCGTGGGATTCGTTTTCTTCTCTCCGAAGCGTACGCCGATTGATACCGCCATCATATCCGCTGAACACGGAATAAAAAATCTTTCCGGAGCTATGCTGGGTTCACGCTACATCGAGCAGTAGCTAGCACAGCACTACAGTTTGTTCACTAAACATGTTTTAGATGCCTGAACCAGGCCAGTACACAGGAGAGTTAAACCCCCTCCCCCACACATTAATTACCGAAAAAATATTAACTGTTTTCCGTTTTTATTAAATATTAGATAGAATCTTATTTTTAATAATACATAATGCAATGTGTGCACCATTATTATAATTTCACAGTCACGTATATACTGTTGGTCGACTTTCGTCGTTATCGTTATCATTATTTCAGTAGAAGGCAGGCTATTGAATTGAAAAATATTAAATCAAACTGACTATAACGATTTACATATACGTACTTAGACAGAATATGACTATGAACATTATTTCATTAAACGACTCGACCAAAAACGATTGGTTCACACACGTTTAGATGCTATATTATTCGCTTTACTGAACAAGTTTTAGACTCCCATGACCAACAGTTTTAGAATTTAAAGGGCATTAATTTTCATCGGTTGCATTTAGGGCCTGGATTCCAATGCAAAGCGTATCTTTTCTAGGGTGATCTGAGGAAATTATTTTTAAATACATCATTTGTTTCAGGTAATTCAAAAGTGAAATGCTATTTTTAGTAATTTTGTTAGTTTGTAAGTACATTTGTATATTATATGAGTAAATAATTAAAATTGAACTAATTTATAATGTTTTCTATAATTAGTTCGTTAATTTGTTTTTTTGATATTTTCGAAACACCAAAGACTACCCACATTGGAGTCAGGGGTATCATAAACAATTTTCGAATAATACACAAGGCGCATATTCGTACCACTTTTTTCTTCGAGATTTGTGTTGCGAGTATACGCGCAAATACTGCGTCATTAAAAACCGATCGAGTGAAATCGATTGCACGAGATTTATTGGAAATAAAAAAATAAAAATAAAGACTAATTTATACAGAATATGTATGCAAATTACTTAACTATACAACGAAAATAGTTTTGAACTCTGGTTATTGTGATTTTGACGAAAAATTTGAATCACTGTATTCCAACGAAACATAATATGTGTAGTATAATTGGAACTATCAGAATTAACCGGAAATAATACCCATATTTTCAAGAAGAAATTTATAAGGAAATTTTTACCAACGAGATATCGATATGGAAAATAAATTTTAAATACTGGTAAATTTTAACTTTTAAAGTTATTTATTTATAGAAAAAATTTCTATAAATACGAATAAATGAATATAGCAAGCATATCTCTTTCTTACCTCAGCTAAATCGCTTTATGCATGATAAGTATACTATACAAACTGTTATAAGTATAGTATTTTAACATTTACTATAAATACTAATGGGAATTTGAATTATATATTCAGATGGGGGCCTATTTAAGGATGGGGGATGATAACCCCCCCACCAATTAAAGACCGATTTATATAGTCGATAATCATCAACAAATTATGTAATATTAATATTGGGTAGAATACGATTGCGTACGTTTGTAGATGGGTAACAAAAAGGTAGGTAAGAAAAATAAATTAACACGATTGCATATTAAATTATATGTAACGTTATCTAATTTAATAATTTTACGGTATTATACCATATATACATGTACTATAATATAATATAATATACAGTTCTATAATAATTCATAAAAAAAAATAATAATAAAATAATAAATAAAATAAGGATAACTAAATAAAATAAAAGTAATAAATAAATAAATAAAACTGACAGATTTTGTTTTAACGGAATTATTGTTAATAAATCATTTCAAAATGCTTAAATTTTGATTCCCTGACATCTATAACTTACTACTTTTACTGAAACTCGGAAAATACCGTATAATACAACGGAAATAACGAAATTTCATTATATCTGATATATTTGATACCTTTAATAATAAACATAGTTAATAAAAGTGATAAAACCCTAAATATTCATTAACTTTTTCAAGTTCACTCGTATAGACATGTGGTACACACCAATACCGGTATGAAAATTGGCATAAACACTTAAAACTTCGTTCGCAATCGTGTAGGTAAAAATCAAGTAAAATCGTAATAGATCGTAAAAGAATCGTGTACCATAAAAATGTATAGCCGATAACGAATGTACGCAATCGTGTTTTACCCTTAATATTGTAGAATTTTGTTCTAGATAGTAGTCGACACATTTTTATACTTATAATCTCCCCTAACAATATTTGCTATTACTTACCCTGATTCAGATTTAACTAGACAGAAAAGATACATTAATTTGGCCATACAGTTTTGTATAAAAATGATTTCTAAACACTGAAAATATTAATACAAACATAAAAGTAATAATTTAGATATAATCAGATACGAGTATGATATGTATACAATTAAGTACAATATAATGTTTTGTGTTTTGTTGTGTTTATATAATTAACAAGCAAGTATACAGAATAAAAACATTTAACATAAATACAGCGATATGTTAAGTTTTTCTATCACAAATTTACTAATATTATATTTCAATTGGTCAAAATAACATTAGTACGAATTGGTTTAGTTGCAAAATACGAACCCAGTATGAAACGAATTAAAAAGGAATTTTAAAAATAAATACCCTTTTGGGCGACATTATTATTACGATGTTCATGCAATTGTATAAATGGCCATTTAGATGTTAATGTCGAGTAAAACAGTAACAACAACGCCATGTATACTAATAAAACGTGTTGTACTAAAATACACAAGCTTTAATGGTATAATTTATAATCATTTACGAAAATGATACTTGTATAGTTGTTGAACGTGTATTATTAATGGACGCAAGATCACAAACGAAACTACATTACAACAATACACTTTCAACTGTTCTGTAACGGTCTTTCAACGGTTAGCGTTTATTTTATTTTTTAACTAAAATAATGAAACACCTTTACTTTCCAGAGAAGTTACGGTATACGCAGCACGATATTATGTTGTACAAAAGCAATGTGTGAAATATTATGGACCTGATTGTATACACATTATGATTATATAATACGTAAGCGGAATAGGACGTGAAATTATTGTTATTTAGAATAACAAACGTTAGCACACATATTTATATTAGATTCACATTAGAGAGGAATAATTATTTTCGAACTCGGGATCGCTGTAGATATATATTATATGTATAATAAATGTTTATTGACGTCATTATTTAAACTGTCCAAACATTAATTATTCACAATTAAAATTGTTCTCGAATAAAATATATATATATATGATAAAATATTAGGGGTTGTTTTTCCGAATCTGTATAGGCGTTCTGATGATGATACACGATAGGTGATTTGTGCATTCGTAAGCACCTTCATCGTGTGACTCGTTTTTAACCCAAATAATATTAATTTGATGATTCGATCATAATATCATAAGTATCATGCACTGAACACGCTGTACGGTGTTGAATCAAGTTATTGCACGTTTGCCTTACATTATTTATTAATAAGTATATATTTATTTAAACGTGCTACGCATGCATACTCGTATGTATATATTGATATTTCTGTTTTATCCGGCTGTAATTATCATCGGTTCCGCGATAACGACCCCGATCACCAGGCAGTATGTTGATCTTCGTAACATAATATTAGCTCAAGCCGGTTCACACAGGTTAAAATTTAAGAGTAATTTTAAATTATACATCTTATAAAATATTAGAGTTGTTCGAGTACTCGACTTTGGAAAAATTTCCGAGTAGAGTTCGAGTACTCGACTTGAACCAAACACTCGAATTGCATTGATTACTTGTTTGAAATTATAAATAACTGAGAGAACCCAAATATAGTAACCTAAAAATCAATTGTTACATGTATGAAAGAATCATTGAGAACGGATATACCGATTTGGGTGATTTTTTTTTGGTTGTGTTCTTAATTGTCAGGACTCCGAGTGAGGTTTGTATGAAAAAATTTTGTATTCGACTACTTGGCATTTATCGAGTACTCTAATTTTTTTTAATATTCGGGAATTGTCTAATACTCAACTTTTTTTAATACTCGGGTATTATTTAGTATCCTTAGCCCCCCCCCCTTGGCTACGCCACTGCACACGAATTGAAATGCGTGACTATACATGTACATTGAAATATTTCATTCGAAAATGGTTGACACAAACGATTTTGATTCTACATTGTACATTGTACAATCAAAATCGCTTGTGTCAACCATTTTCGAATGAAATATTACCCAACCGATTCCTGGACCCGCCGTTCAATAGCACTGATTACTTTACAATACTTTACAATGCAAGATGCATAATACTCTACGGTCCTTTATATAATCGACTGTTTTGAATATTTCCTAGTATCGTTTTCATTGTGTTCAAAGTTCCACGACACACTGTACGCGTTTAATTAAATAATTGCACATTTGTAATATTATTTATATATTTTCATACACGCACACACACACATATACACACATATACAAATAAATATACATCAAACATACACATGCATTCATACTGTGCATAAACAATATTTTTCAGAAAAGAGGTAAAATTTAGTACAGCTCTCACAGAAAACCATCGCGAGAAAATGTTGGTTATTGAAATAAATGTTGAATATTATTCAAAATTGTATAAACCTTAAATTTAACG